CTCCCCCCCAGTGGGGGGGGGGGCTGTCCGCACACACACACACACACACACACATCCCGTCTCGTGTCTGTCTCCCTGCCTTGCCCGCCGCCACATTTTGATATCCCCACCACACTAGCTGGTCACGTTGCCTCGCTACCTTAGCAGCATCAATCACCACCTCGCCTAACTGCCGGCTTCACCACCTCCCCCGGCAGGACAATCTGGAATCTCAAACGTACGAGACCTTCGAAAAGGATGTCCAGAAGTACAAACTGTACGAAGAGGCCGTATACAAGGCTCTCAAAGACAGGCGACATTCTTCTTCCACACCGGCCACCACCACCACCATCAACAACAACAACACGTCTTCAAACAGTTCCAGCACAATCGCCGCCACGTCGTCGTCGCCGTACGACCTACCCATCGCCTCCACCTCTGGCCGCGGCGGCGGGGCCGGCGGCTCCGCGGCTCTCTCGGCCAGCGGCAGCCGCGTCGTGTTGATGGTGGTTGGCGCGGGCCGGGGTCCGCTGGTTCGCGCCTCCATGCGGGCGGCGGCACGGGCGAGTGTGCGGCTGCGTGTTTACGCGGTCGAGAAGAACCCCAATGCCATTGTCCACATCCAGCAGATGCTGCGGAGTGAGGGCTGGGAGAGCGATGTGACGATTGTGTCCGCGGACATGCGCCACTGGCAGGTGAGTCGAGGGAGGGAGGGAGGGAGAATGAGTAAGTGGGTAAGTGGGATAGAAGAGGGACCATCGTGGAGACGTGTGTTTTGGTGTTGCTGGCGTTTGGGCGTCTGCTGTGTGTGGGTGGATGGATGGAGGTGTGGAGGTGTGGGTGGGTGGGTGGGTGAGGGTGCGACACCACACGGAAATGTCACTCCCCGGTTCATGAGAGGACTCGGACCACAACCCTAACCCCAGAACACAGACGCGACCCCCCGCCAGTTCTTAGACACCCTCCTTGTTTGCTCCCGCACGCCCTGCCGTACAGGCTCCGGAGCCAGCTGAAATTTTGGTTTCGGAGCTGTTGGGTTCTTTTGGCGATAACGAGCTCTCCCCCGAGTGCCTGGACGGTGCGCAGCGGTTCTTGGCTCCAGGCGGCATCTCCATCCCGCAGTCGTACACGTCGTACATTGCGCCCGCCACCAGCCACAAGCTGCACCACGACGTCAAGTCGTATAAAGATCTGGAGCACTTTGAGACGCCGTACGTTGTACGGCTGCATCGGTAAGGTTTAGGGTCGCTCCAGGCACGCACGCGCGCCTAGCTGGGGGTTCCCAAGCTGCCGTACTGTGGTGGAGTCCCGTACACTACCACTCGCCTGTACTGCTTGTCGCGCTGCCAGTAGTGCACTGACCTACTTCTCCTCCCCCCGGCGGACACGAGCCCATGACCTCCTCCCCATCCCACAGAAAACACACACATCTCCGGTGCCCCCCGACTCGCAGACACCACTTGCTGGCCGCCACCCAGCCCCTCTTCACCTTCTCACACCCCAACAACGACACGCCCATCGACAACTCCCGCTACGCCACCGTCACCTTTGTACGGGACCCGGCCGCCGGCGCTGCCGTACTGCACGGCTTTGCCGGCTACTTTGAGTGCACTCTGTACGGCGATGTACTGCTGTCGATTCACCCGCCTACTCATTCGGAAAACATGTTTTCCTGGTTCCCGATTTTCTTCCCCCTGCGGGAGACCGTGTACGTGCCGGCGGGGGGTTCTGTGGGTATGCAGATGTGGCGGTGTTGTGCACCCCATAAGGTGTGGTACGAATGGTCAGTGACGGCGCCGGTGGCCGGTCCCATCCACAACGTGGGGGGCCGGTCGTATTGGGTGGGCTTGTAGATTTGCATGTTGCTAAAAACGATTATGGACCCGATAGTTCCTGTGATACTGCAGTGCTACATGTTTAGCCATGCGGACGTATGTATGTATGTATGTTGTTACAGGGTGGTTAACTTCGCCAGCGGCCCCCTTTCCCGGGGCAGTCCCTGCTCTCCCCTGCTAGAGGGGCACCCTAATCCGTCACCCCATCCGACTTCAGAATGTATTCGTTGAGTTCGGCAACTCACCACCAGCATCCAACCAAATCTAGCGGATCAACGGCGCATCAACTTAGTTCCTGGTCAGCTCGCAAGTTGATATTATCACGTCCTACACCGTCCATAAGATGGGGGGCCACCTCCCATTTCATCACTCCTCAAACACCCGAGGAGCCGGCAGGCGGATTTGAACCCGGGTCGACTGGGTCAACTGGGAGCAGAAGTCAGGCCTTAACCTCTGCCAGCCGCCTGCCTATGGACGTATGTATGTATGTATGTATGTGTATGCTGGTTTGTCGTTCCTGTAAAACTTCTGGGTTTTCCCCCGGGGTGGCCTTTTTTATTTGGGTTTGTAGCTTTCCGATTTCCTTTCAAGGTGCCGTCGTGCATGTGTGAGTTGATTCGGGAGAGCAGCAGCAGGAGCCGCAAAAACCAACGACTGATGTTTCAGTTGCCCGCCCGCCCGGCCGCCCGCCCGGGTAGAGGTGGGTGGGTACACACCTCCCTGTGTGGATGGGGGTGAGTCCATCCTTGGCGCAACCCTTTTGCAGCAGTAGCTTTTAGCAATAGCAATGATAGCCGTATGGGAGGGGAGTTATCGCGGGCTGTGTGTGAACGCTTCCAGGGATGGTCGGGACGAGCTCGCCTTCAACTTAGGGTTTGACTGCCCGCGTGCGGCGCCTGGGGTTTTCATATTGGCCAGGCTCAGATGTCCAGGGAGGGTCTTCTCTTAGAAAGGTTAACGCCTCCGCCAAAGGACACTCCCCCCTCCCGTCGCATTGACACACATGGGACGTAGCTTTGTGACACGCGTCCCACCCTGGGTGACGAGGGAACCGTGCCGCACTCAGCAGGTTCAGAAAGGCTGCTAGGAGTTGCAAATTTGAATTCGACCGTTAACGATTGTAACGGTCAAAGCGCTTTTGGGCAGACCGAGCTCTTGTGTCCTCTTGTCCTGAAGCCTTCCAACGGCTTCGAGTGAAAGGCGTAAGACTGCGGCCGTTCGACGCGCCGTTCGACAGCCCTTTGATTGAAATACCACCGCCCCCAGTCCCGAACCTTTAGTTTTCAAGGTGGCGTAGCACGGTGACTAAAGCACGGGAAGCCTCTTTAGTGCCAGGGAGGCGGCTGCAGGGCTTCGCATAGGTTCCTCGTACACTTTAAACGAAACAATTGAAAGCTCAACCTTTGGACAAATCATCGCTGTACGGTGGTGCATGTACAGATGTACGCGACGTAGGTCCTGTAGGAGGGTTACAGAGCGGTCAGGATGCGGCGGAGGGTTGGGCACAGGATACGGATAGGAAAGAGTAGGATAGGAAGTGGACCCCATAGGACAAGGGTGGCAGAGGGCCCAGGATGTGTGGCTCGAGGATGGAAAAAGGGGTATGTGTAGGATGTGTCCAACCGACAGGATGCGTGCCCGACTCCCCCCCCTTTTAGGATGCGAGGATGGGGCGCCCTGCATCTGCAACCCTCCTCTCCTGTGAGGAAACTCCGGCAGCAGCAGCACCCTGGCTAAGGGGTGCGGTCCCCGAGGCTGCTGGGGGACCTCCCCAGTGGGAACATGACCACGAGGATGGGGGAAAGAGCCAGCAGCCCTTAAGGTCGGAATCGGTTCACTCAGTCGGATCCAGGAAGTTGCAGCCGGCAGCCGAGAGGCGGTAGCGTTACAGCTGGCTGGCGGGAGAAAGTGGAAAGGAGAAAAGGCAACCCTCCAGATTTACCGCCCCTGAACTTCAAGCTTGAGACTTCGCCTGTTGGTGATAACAGTAGGGTGCCCGACGGGTTCACTTTCATCATTCTTGGTAGGGTAGCTGCCGGACCGGGTTACGTTCGGTTTTTCACTCGGAAGTTAATGACCAATGATGCATCACAGACTGAAAGCGTAAATTATATGTGTGAAGGAGGCGGAAGTTGAAAAGCAGGGATATCGTTGCGCTGTTTTCGTCAACTCCGAGCTACATCAACATTTTCACTATGCATATCCGTATGCATGTTCGTGGACTTCTGGTTACTCCGTTTATATGTGCCCACAATGGAAATCTGAAAAGAGGAGATACACCTGCAAACGTGATTACATAGGGTGCCCCGTACGGGCACGCCAACAGCTATGCCGCGCCGGCCCTGGAAGAAACCGCAGCCGGACCCAGGGGACGATTTAAACCATAATAGCGGGAAAATTAGTCGCATAGGGATACTTTGTTTGAAAGTATGGGACAAGAAGCTGCACAGCCTCCATGCTGTCCCACTCTCGACGGTCGAAGGGACTGAACGACGTACATGCATTTGAGTTTTCAGCACGTCAAGGCGTTACTTTTCAATCTTAATAACCCCATGATACATGTTACCACCAATTGATCTTCGACCTCACGTTCGAATGCTGCTATTAGAGTTCCGAGGAGTTAAGTGCTAGGTCGCAGCAACCGCGTTCCACGTGATACCGTCTACACGCAGCGTGACTGGGGGAATCTAGTACTAGCTCAAAATGGCAACAACACATCCGCTTTTGGTGGCCCCCGCGGGCCTAACATCCGCAGCTTCACATGTCGCGCACGACCGCTGGCTTCCAACAAAAGATTCAATCGACTATATTGACCACTTTGAGGAACGTCGCAATAAGAGCCAAGTTGCGCTGCCAGTCCCGACCCTGTCTATGGCCTACTCTAACCAGGACATCGATTTCAGCTCTCCTACCAACCGCGCTATCCTTGCCTGCAACGGCTTGCCACGAAACTTCAAAACAGGAGTACGATGTGTGAACCCACTGGAGCCGCGGTACGCCCTTCCGGGCTGTTCCCCGGCATCCCTCGCCGCCCAAGAAGCCGCGCAGTCAAGCTCCAACGCCGCGGCGGCCACCAGCGACAACCCCCGACCCACATCCCCAGCTACCCGGCGGCAAGGCAGTGAGCGGCTGCTCATATCCGCCATGTCCCTGCCCCGTAGCGCGGATGGGCCGGGTCCTGCGGCATCCCCCAGGCTGCAGCCCTTGCCGCACTCGCCCTCCGCATCCAACACCACAGCTCCCGGACCTGGATTCCAACCGCTCTCTCAACCGCAACCACCACAACAACCGCAACCACCACAACAACCCCAGCATCAGCCGTCGCAACCGCCCACTTTGCCGCCTAACTCAAATGTCCATGTCAACGGTGCCGTCGGCGGCCTGCTGTTGTACGGCCCGACGCCGACGGCGTTTGCGAGCCCGGTGGCCGCCGCGATTGTAGCCGCCGCCGCCGGTAACCGAAATCTGAATGTGGCAGATATTAACGGTCAGCGCCGCAGCGCCAGTGTACCACCACGCCGCAACGGCGGCTTCGACCCGCTATACATCTCTGACATCGTGGTGGGTTGTTAAGACGGAAAGGCGCATCTCCCTCCATCACAATTTATCAACTGGCTGGCTGGTTGCGTATTGATTGATTTCTTGTGTCATGGTGGTGGTTACCTCACCCCACCCCACCATCCGCAACCCACGCAATCCATCACCCAACCAACCGGCGGACTATGTCCATCCCCTTCCCGTTCCCATCCGTTCCCACCGCAGCCGCCGCGGAATCAGAGCCCTACCCGGCCCCTGGCGTGCCTCAACGCGTCCGACATCAAGGGCGCCTCGCCGAAGCCCCGCACTCGGGAGGTGCCCTCCCCGGGCCACGGCACTCTCACCGCCGCCGATATTCCCGGGGCCTCCCCGGGCTGCATGGCGCGGCCCTCCCCCACCACCTTTGCACTGGGTCGCTGGCCGGCACCCGCCGTCCCTCAATACCACTTCGCGCACGCCACCCGCGTGACCATGATGAAGAAACCCCTCACCATCGGGGAGTGAGGGGAGGAGAGGGAGGGGGGAAGGGAGAGGGAAGGGAAGAGGGAGGGGGAGAGAAGGGGGAGGGAGAGAGAAGGGGGGGAGTTGAGAAGCTATCCCGCGGACAATGGGGAGAGTTGCGCCGGAGAGGAAAAAGACTCTCAGCTTTCGTCCCCCCTGTCCCCCCCGTCCCACCCCCCACCCCCCCAAACACACACTTACCGGGGTGAACGGAAGAATGGAGAAAGGAGATGGGGGCAAAGAAGACAAAAAGGTGACAGTAGAGTGACGCCGACGGTGGCGTTGATGGCGTTGATGGCGGCTGGATTCGGTGACGCTTCTGTTGGCGATGTTGATTTTGGTGATGGTAGTTGGGTAATGATGTAAGCTGACGGGCTGTATTAATAGTTGGTGGTTGATTGGAAGGGTATTTCTGTGCGTGTATAATGCGGGGAAGGAGGTTGTTAAGGGGATGGGTGCGGGCGGTGGCGCTGCATGCCGTATTGGCGGAGCGAGGGGCCCGCCGCGATCTGCATCATCAACCCCCTTCTCCACGTCCCCGCTGTTGCTGTTGTCCCGGTATTGGCCTTTTCCCCGTAATGCTACCCACGATTCATCGCATCTGAGTACTGTTTTAACGGCCATGCGGACGAATGTGGCGGGCGGCACGTTGGCGCTAGTTGTGGTTGGTGCTAGAGTTGGAGTAGGTCTTGAAGACTTGGAATTGTCCGGGTCCTTTTCGGGTGTCGATTGGGAAACGGGCTTAGGTTGTTTTTAGGGGTTTTTAGATCTTTTAGGCTTTTAGCAGTGTGGTGTCCCTGGTGGCGACTGCCCAGGGGGATGGTGGATGTGATGTGGTGTGTTGGCAGTGGATGAGTGCGTGCGGGCACATGCACGGCATATGGGCTCCTTCCTGGCGCAACCGTTGCTGCTGTTGTGATTGTTGCCGTTGTCGTTGTTCGTTGCTTTTTTCAATTACTGCATTGCGGATTACGCTTTAGATTGCGCTGTGCATTATTGCTGTTATAGGAATATATACTGCTGTTGTGCATGCATTGAGAAAAAATAGGAGTGAAGTGAAGTTGACCAACTGCGCGCCAACTGCGCGCAGCCGGACTGTGTAAGCCAGAGAGCACTGACTGAGGGGGAGCTGGCGCCAAACAATTACCGGAAAAACTCCCGCGACCCGGAACGGAACGGAGCCACCTTCATGGCGACCTCGTGGCTGGCGGTTAGCTAGCTAGCACGCCAGGTAACTGTACGTTTTCATCATCATGGCTGCCGTACTCTCCTGCTGCCGTAATAATGCTAGAGTTTCAGATTAAGCTTTGATTGCACAATGATAAAAAATGGATGCTGTCCGTCGCGCGTTACCTGCTGATCGCGTCGCAGCGATGCAATATTACGATTTTCGCTGGTGGCCACGGTCAGATTGAAATGGCGATAGGATGTCATGCATTGACCCCCGACGGGGTTTGAAGCCGCGCCCTTGGAATTTTACCCTTCGAAATGGCGCCGGGTTCAGAGGCGGGAGGGGTGAGCGAGTTGCGACAAGAAGCATCTCCCGCCGTAAGGAAGCGGAAAGGGAAGCAGCAAGGTTGCGGTCGGGTAGGGAGCAATGGGGGAGTAGGGGTAGGGAGAGATCCGCTACCGGTGGCGGACCTGGGCTCAGGTGCTTGCTTCACCAACACCTCTCGTACCTACCCACCCACCTACCCATCCACCTACCCACACACCCAACATCAGCACCCAGCAGCAGGTGCGTATCCCCGGGCGGCGGCAGCTGTGGGCACCTGCGCCGGTCAGTTGGATCACTGCACCAGCAATGCGGTTGGGGGTTGCTGTCGAGAAACCGGCATGAACCTTTGCGTTCGCGTAATAAAAACGGTTGCCATGCGCATTCGTCTTGAGTTTAGGAAGCCGTCGTGCTTCAGTTCTACAGGAACACATCAGTTCGGACGTCAAAAGCACCCCGGGCGGACCGTCGCGTGCTTTCCCACCCACCCTGCATCCATCCCGCGCTCGCGAGGTTCTGTGTGTACAGCTTTAATCACATAGGGCCCCTGGGGGCTGCCAGTACCCGGGGGTGTCGGGATGTGACTCTATTGGCATGCGAGGTAGCTGCGCATTACGGCTCGGTAACAGACCCACCGCGAGGGGCGTATGGTGGGTGTATCAGACACTGTCTGAAGGTGACTCAGGACCCCCCCCAGGTGTACTTCCATTTCCACTGTTGCAGAGGGGCGGTGGCGACGAAGCAGAAAAAAAAGAGCAAAGAAAAAAGTGGAAACGCCCCAAACAGGGGGGGACTCCCTCGCAAAGCAAAACAGTAACACGTCATCCAGCATGCTGATTCGTTCACCAAAACAATTTCGTCTTTTTTGTTTCAAAACAGGACAGGACAAGAGCTCCTCTGGCCGCGTCCCCAAGGTGCGCCAAGTCTCCACCACAAGCACAAGAATAAGAAGACTACAACAGCAAACAACACAACGATAGAGAAACGAGACTCAAAAGCGGGCCGCTGGCGACCTCCCTCCCTCCGATCAGCAACCCTACGGACGTGCGATCCCCGAACCTGCAGTGCAGTCTCCTTCCCGCCCGGTCAGCTCCCTCCCTCCACTTTTTGAAACCGGCCGACGGACTGCACAACCACCAACGTTCAAAATCCCATAGCGTCCTGACAATATGGTGGCCCCCAACAGATTGCTCTCTACCAGATGCATCCCCCCAACCCCACCCAACCCCCCACACGCACCATCCGCCGCAGATCTGCAACCACCTGCGACACCTACAGCACACTCCCCTCCTATCTGTTCATCACGCGGCCAACCAGTGCCACAGCCAGGTCCAGGGGGTCCGCCGCCACGCAAGGCCCTGCCGGATATCGCGACTGTCGGGGGGGGGGGGTGCAACCGCCCCTGCTTACCCACCCAGAACTCGGGATGCCTATAGCCTATAGCTCTACCCTATAGCCTATAAGCTGTTTACCTGTCCGTCTGTCTGTCTATCTGCCTGTCTATCTGTCTGGAATGAGCAGCAGCCTGTTTTGACCTCCCAAACGCCGCCAAGCCCAAACTCCATAGCGGGTTTCCCCCCCGCGCCACCTCCTTTCCTGCCCCGCTTTCCCCGCATCATGTCCCCCGCACCGCGGCACACTGCTGATCCGCCCTGTCCCTAAGGCGCCTTGATAGCATCCAGTCATCTGTATGTCAGTTTGTATGTCCATCCCGTCAATACACGCCCACACAGCTTCGAGATAACCCCCCCGAGCCACACGTGTGTCTGTATGTCTATATGTGTATGTGTGCGAGGAAGAGGGAGCCCTCGGGCAGCGCACCGCTAGGGTGTTATCGTCCCCGTCCCCCTCCCCTCCCCCCCCCGGTCTTTCCTCTACTCCTGGAGACGGGACAAGGGATGGGGCGCCAGCCTCACAAACACATGCACACACATACACAGAAACACATATAAGCGACACGTTATAAATTCCCGCGTAAAACATCACCGCCATCTTTGTCGAGAACCGCAAAAACGCTTACAGCTGCGAATCAGAGCTTGAGATACACCGCGGCCGCTTCCCCACGGGGGTTTCCCCTCGAGCGGGGGCTTCTCTCCCTCACCCCGCCGCCTCTGTGCTGCCAACTGCATGCCCAATTTCCGCCGCCCGGAGGCCCTGTGAATACAACGGCGAACCCCCCTGCTGCTGCCCGTAACCACCAACCGCTTGATCGTACACCGGTCCCGTCGTTGCACAGTGCTGCTGATAGTCCTGCTGCTGCTGGCCATGTTGTTGATGGTGATGGTGGTGCTGCGGCTCCTGGTTCGGTGGCGCTCCGAGACCAGATTCGGCAAGTGCCGTCGTCCCCTCGTAGACTACCTCCTCCAGCTGTGCCAACAACCCCTGCCCCGGCCCCGCAGCCGTCAGCGGCCCCGCTGCTACGACCGCCGCCGCCGCCGCCGCTGGTGACAACTGCGGCGCGTTGTTGTGGCCACCATCATCGTCATCGTCGTCTTGTAACATGGCTTGGAATAAGCCGCCCGTGCCGATTTGCTGTGGCGCCGCCGCCACAACGGCGGCGCCGGCTGTTAGGCCTAATACATCTGCCGCTGGCGGCGGTGGTGGCGGCGGCGGTGGTGCCGCGTCCCCATCTTCCAGCAGCAACCCCAACATGGAGCCTCCAGGGGGTGGCCCGTCTGACGCCGCCGACGCCGCCGCCACGCCGTTGGCGTCAGGCGGCGGCAGCCCGAGCGCTGCCGCCGGCCCCGTCGCGGCGCCATCGCCAGCCGCCAGCGCCGTCGCAAGGTTTACCCCCCAGCGGTTCGCTAGCTCACTGCACAACAGATCCAGCACTTGCCGTACTGCTGCTGGATCAGCCTCCCGCATGTAGGTGCTCAGAGAGTGGCGCAGTTTGGCGAGGCGGGTCAGTGGTACGGCATCCACGGAGCCGTCCGCCTGGGGAAATAAACCGGAGGGTTCGGGGAATTGGTGGCAGTAATGTACGACATTACCATCACAAACAGAAACGAACATACGTACGAACAAACAGGGAAACGTGGTTCGTTGAAACCGACAAGGCAAGAGAACCAGTTAACGCGAACACCAGCGCTCGGAGCCC